ACTCTTAAGCAGTAGATCGATCCTTGGGACAATTACAATAGGACCAATGCTTCTACAATTGTCTCTCAGGTACTCTAACGTCGAAGTCTCTCATGCTTCGAATATTGGATATTTGCTCATTACCATTAATTGTGTCGGACAAAAGCTTCTCAAGCTTACACACTACTAGGCATTTATTATCTTAATGTTCTTTTTTTTTTGGGTTCATTTTATTATTGTATTTAGTTCAACTTTGAATATTCTGAAACACGTGTAATATCTTTTGTTGGTCAAGCTGATTGTAATGTGTTTCAATGGGAATACAACATGCTTTGATCATTAATTGATTTTCATATATAAACAGTACCCTCAATGACTATTTAACATTGATAGCAATCATAGTTCGTAGAGTTCATTAATTTTTGGTGAGTTTGATTTATGATAACTTTGCGAGTCTAATATGTTTTCAATTTAAAGTCTTGAGTCCATGACCTCCATGAACTATGAGTTAATTTAGTTCAATTGAAAATCCTGAGTTCATCAATTATGTTTTCATGTTACACAACACACACAAAACACACAACACACACAAAAGATGTTTGACCAAGTGCCCCTAAAACAACACTTAGCGAACACACACTCACACAACACGTGTAATTAGCATTTTATAAGTTGCCTATATTTCTTGAGGTTCTATTTTTAGGAGAACCTTTCAAAATTGTCAAAATTGTGTAAAAGAACAAAAAGATGTTATGATTAAATATTGACTATTTTTTTATTCAACATAATGCATTCACGAGAATATTCATATTGCTAATACTTGGTTGAGCATATATGCAAAGTGTGGGTGTGTTAAGGATACAATTTAGGTTTTCAGTCTGGGTAGTGTCCATGTTCAGTGTTTGATTTTTGTTGAGTTCACAATCAATGTTGAATTTTTTAATCAATGTTGAATTTTTATGAATTGTATGATACCTTTAGGCACAAGTTATCACTATCTATAATAATAAGATACAACCTAAATTGAATTAGTCAGAACTTAGAAATACTTAGACGTTACTACTCACACATGCATTTGTGCATGATCTACTTGATGTTTACGACCAACCAACTAGATTGAGAATTAATGATGATATATGGTATTTATTTTTCTTCTTTCATTGTGTCCAAGATCAATGGTCATTTTTTTTTAATTACGTCGTACTTTCAGATACGGGTTAAAGTTAATTCCAATAAGACATTTGTGTGGTGGTAACTCCTAGCTTCAATGAAGATAATGTTGAAGGATTCTTTCTGTCTTTGTACATGTTTGTTTTTTGTGTGCAGTTTGCAATTATTTTGTTTGTTCCGTGTTTAGTATGAAGAACTAATTACACATGGTTATGAGAATATGTTTGGTTTTGATGTGAATTTGATGGTTGGGTATGGAATTGAGTTGTGATCTATGATGATTATGGTGGAAATAGAATTGAATTGTGGTGTTGCGGGACATTATTATAATTGTAATATATGATTGTGAGTGTTGTAGGCAGGTTGAAATCTTCTTGGACTCCTATTTTTAGAGGTAGTTCAGCCGAAATTTTTGAAAAATTAGTGGGGACTAGATTGATTTCAATTTATTTAATTGAAGCAAATGATGTAAAAATTATTTCAAATTGACGATTTATTTTATGTTGCAAAGTTCCTTTAGGCATGGTAGTATTCTTCAAGATTTAATTCAATTTTTGGTTACTTTGTGCCTTCAGACACAAACAATTACTATTATATATGTAATTATAACGTTCCAAAATCTACCTTCGACGGTATTACAATCTAAAGACCATTCACATCATGAAAGCAACTAAATAAATTCATCATTAAAGAGTATTTCGTTCATCAAATATAACATTTACAATATCATCCCAAAAGAACATGTCAACCATGTCCATTACATCCCAAAAGAATCAACTATTTTCTCACAGCGGAATAAACACAAAAATATATCTATTAATGTACCAAAATATATCCCCTAATCTAAAGCATGGAGATGTCAACTCTAGACATTCCTCTTGGGATCCACGCTTTTCTCCAATTGGACTTCCCAAGCCACCTGCTCATCAGTTTCAAGCTCTTTCTCGAAATCGACATCTGAGAATGAATAATATTGTAGGGGGTGAGTACTAAGCTCCGTAGCAACATTCTCCCCAAACTCGAACAAGGTTTGAAAAACATGTAAAAAAATCGGTCTCATTTGACAAATATCATATATTAATTTTTGAAGAAAACAATAACATTTCAATAAATCTCAAGTTTACACAATAACAATAATTTAACTGAACCGTAAAAATGAATTTATCAATAATAAACCATTTCCAACCATAAACCATTTCCCATAAGTTCTTATAGAGTCTCATACCTCCACAAACTCTTGTAGGAAACTAATTCCACACAATAACAATAATTGTTCAATAGTGTCATCTTATATTCTAATGTATGTTGATTACTTCTCATGAATCTACACAACGACTCTACCTCGTTCACTCAACCATAGCCATACAAACCACTTTAGGAAGGACGCATACCGTCTTCCACCACATTGACGAATCCTTTCTAGAAAAGGTATACCATCCCTCAGCCTCGAACTTACGTGAACAATAGTGGTTGCTCTCACAAACAACAAACCACGACAAATGTTAGGAAATCATCTCACCCCCACTGGGATAGACTAACCTCTAACACTTTACGGCAGTGCTTGAATGTAATTCAAGTCCATCACAACAAGCATACAAGAGCTACAATAATGAACATTTTCTTAAATCACAAGGAAATTCAAAGCCCCCAATTTTTACAATTTATAATACAAGAGACAATCTTAAAAATAAGCAAGAGATCATCACAATTACCATTTTATTACTCAACATAAAGCACTAGAGTTTCGAATTCAAGAACAAAGGAAGAATCAATAGAAAAATCCATTTATCTTGAAAACAGAGTTTTATGCCAAAAAAAGAGATTTAATGGCTATCCAACCATTAATTTGCTTAAAACATGGTGGTCTTTGCAAGGATACTAAAAAATGATGATTTCATAGAATATATATAAGATTTAAAGTCAAAATAATACATATAGATAAGTCTTAGCCTCAATGTAAGAGAATAGGAAGAAACTCTTACCTTGGTGTTCTTGAAAAAATTAGGGTTTTGATCTTCTTGAAGTGGAAATCTCTTTTGATCTTGTTTTTTTTTTCCTTTCTTCCTCTCTAAGGTTTTCAAAGGTTAGAGATGTTGAAATCGGCTAAATGGAACGTCCTTAGGTATTTATAGTGGAAAAAAAACCGATTGTTTCGCGACTTCAAAATTCAGATTTTTTGAAAACCTTCCGGAAGGTTTTTCATCGACCTTCAGGAAGATTTGTCTATTTGACAAACATTTTCATTAACCTTTCAAAAGGTTTATCATTGACCTTCTGGAAAGTTTTATCTACTGGACAATATTTTTATTAACCTTCTGAAGGTTTCTCATCAACCTTCCGGAAGGTTTTTCAGCGACCTTCCGGAAGGTTTTGCCTACTGGATAAACATTTTATCTTAACCTTCCAGAAGGTTTTTCATCACCTTTCGGAAGGTTTTGCCTGTTTTTCTACAAATTCTTCCTTCTTCATTTTCAATCCATTTCAAACTCTTCCAATTTCAACCCAAGTTTATACAACATGTTTTTGTACATCAAATCTAGTTGGTACAAGTTCTATTACAACGATTTCATATATTTGCAAGCTAAAATAAGTTTTAACTACTATTTACTCGAATTTTTTCATATTATCATTTCAAAAGAAATAATAACTTGCTATATAAACCTATATACATATATAAAGATAAAAATGTGAGATTTACAATAATAGTTTGACTAATATTAAAAAATTTGCTCTCTCATGTCTATCTATATTCATATATAGATTATGATTATTCTCCCTCTCTCATATATATATAATTTATAGGAAATATAAGGAGATACACGAAATTAGAGTTATTTATTAAAAAATACATAACTCTTAATGTTAGGTCATTAAGTCCTTATTTTTTAGAACTTAATTATGTTCAAGTACACAATTTGACTTTTTATGATTTTCTTTTAACATATTTGTCCTTCCGTAAATCATACATATTTCTTTTGACAATTAAGTTGATTTTTGATTTTGTTTTATTATATTAAATATTTTCTAATAAAATGAAAAAAATTATATTATCACAAATTTGCATATCTTAGCTATTTTGAATTTTAAATTTTTTGCCATTATCCTTATCATTAAATATATCTCTCTTGTCATTAATATATATATATATATACACACACATACATAATATTTCGAAATCACACTATAAAATCTAGTTTCTATTATTCATATCCTGTGTTTTGATACACTGTATTGATACACTTTAAATTTGTGTAATTCTTAAACCCTAATTTTTATTACTCATACATTGTTTTGATATACTATATTAATACACTTTAATTTCATAAATCCTTTAAACTATATCAATACAATGTATCAAAACACTGTAAGAGTAATAAAAACTAGACTTTATAGTGTGATTTCATAGTATTATATATATATATATATGTGTGTGTGTGTGTGACCAAATTTTTTTTAATTTTAATACTATCTAAGATAAGATAATTAAAATTTTTAAATTTTAGCTGTCAAATTTCTCAAGAAGTCCTAATAAAATAAAAATATGGGGTTAATTTCTAAAATCGTTTTTAAGAAATTTATTTACGATAAAAGGATATTCAAGTATTTCTATCTCTTAAGTGGATTTTTTTAGAAAATAATTTTTTATATATTTTTTGACAATTAAATCTAATTTTTTGTACAAACTGCTAAAGAACCCATAATTTTTCATAATTTATTGTGGTGCACATGGCTTCGGCTTGACTCAAAACCCAACCTTCCCACCAAACCTATTGAAAACAACGAGAAACGGACCAATGGACTTTCATGGGCCTTCCTACTTGACCTAACGAAACTAGGATCGGTACACTCACTGAATTGTGCTGAGTTTCAACTCTACCGAGTTCCTGTCTATACATGCAACCAGTACCTCTCCAACAAGGGCTCTGATTCTGGAAGAAGAAGAAGAAGAAATCGAACATGTTCACAATATTCAGACACAAAGCAAAGCTTAGACACTTAACCTCTACAATCACCACTCTCTCTCTCTCCTTCTCTCACTACAACTCCTCTCTAAAACCCCCACTACCACTCACACGCCATCCCCGCCACTCGATTTTAGGGTTAGGGTTTCAAGAGCGGCACAAATGGGACGGAAGTTCCGACGATTACGACCATATTCGGGCCGAAGTGAACTGCCCACGTTGTTCCAAGATGATGAATGTATTGTTTTCGAACCGTCCTTTGTCAATCACCGCCGGCGAGGCTGGTATTTACCAAGCTCTCAATCTTTGCCCTAATTGCAGAACCGCCTTCTATTTCAGGCCACTCAAGTTGGTGCCTTTGCAGGGGACTTTTATAGAGATTGGGAGAGTTAGAGGTAGGGGTGGGGAGGGGAATAGTGAAAGTGATGGGAATGGGAAAGATAGGGTTAAGATTTGGGAGAAACTGAGGTCTTATGGTGGGGATGTGGGGGAGAATTCTTCTGCACCACCGCCACCGGCGGATGAGATAGTGGGACCGAGGGTTGTGGTGAGGGATGGCGGTGGAGAGGAGAGGAGTGGGTGGGGAGGGGCGAATTTGGGGAACGAGTTGCCGACGCCGAAGGAGATATGTAAAGGGCTTGATGAGTTTGTTATTGGGCAAGAAAGAGCAAAAAAGGTTCGAAATTTACTGGATTATTGTTAAATTTTTAGATATTTGCACTTGGGATAAATATTAACGTTGATGGTACTCGAAGGAATACAAGTCCAACCATTGGGCACAATTTTTGATGCTGTGCCCGTAGATTTACTCTGGATTTTTGATTTGTTCTGTTGTCGAGGAAATGTTGTGCTATATATATAGTTACTAGGATATGTTGTTTAGAATTTGTTTACTTGATTTCAACTTTTAACTTGATGATGTCTTCATTTGCTGATTAGAGATGTATTGGAAATGGAAGCTATTCCATGATTAATTTAAAGTACATTTGTTTTGTAGTTTTTGATAATGTTGTGAATTCTTGATAGAAATTTATTGGGAGGGTATTTAGGTCATCTCCCATTACTTATTTAAGCGGCACATAAAATGTTAGAGCTTCTGAATGAAAATGATTTGCGTCATATGGCAGGTGCTTTCAGTGGCAGTTTACAACCACTACAAAAGGATATATTATGCCTCCTTGCATAAAGAGTGAGTGAATTGCATCCTCTTGGAGTCATTTTGAGCCGTAATTGTTAGTACACCAAAAGATATTAATATCAACATATGATGTGATATATAGACATGGAGAATAACTTGTATGGTTTATAGATTGATTGTGGACAATAAGCTATGTACCTGTTGCCTGGGAATCATCAGATTATTGCCTTGAAGGTACTCTAGGTTAAAAGAAGACAAATACTGTATCTGTTTATCTCAGAAGGTTGAGGAAAATCATGTCCTCTTTATGGCGGTTTCTGGCTTTATTTCTTCTTTCCTTTTCTACATCTTAGAGAAACTGTTGGAATATTCTTAAATATCTGATTGTACATCAAAATTTTGACTCTAATACTGAACTATAAGCACTTCTTATTGTCCAAATGGGAATCATGACCCCAAAAGATCTATGAAGGGCAAAATCTAGCCTTGTGGATGTGAAATTAGATAATGCATTAATTAGTAATATCCTTGCCTTTTCTTGAATAACTTGACGTCTTGACCTAATGTTCTTTCCAATTTGAAGCATGTGATTTTTGGATTATGATTGTACTTATTATAATATTTAGTTAGTGGAGATGAGGTTATATCCTTAGTTTTGCTACTGAATCCCCCTTCTACAGAATTTCCACTATATCCTATGATGCATGATATGACAGGATACACATTACTGATGGTGCAAAAAAATATACATGGTTTGTAAGTTCATTGACAACGATACCCATACCTTTTATTTTAAGGGTGATGTGGATAACGTACTTTTTTTGTTACTGAATGTCCCGACCATTCACAAGTTGTTGACATTTGTTTGTGACTACTATTATTGATTTTAATACCAGCTCAGGTGCAGAATCAGGTAAAAGTGGAGTTAACTGCTTTGATAGCGACTTTGTTGAGCTCGAGAAGAGCAATGTGTTATTGATGGGTCCGACTGGCTCAGGTATGGCCAATTAGATTCTATTTTCATTCTTTGGTTGTTGGTTGCGGTGCAATAATAATGGCATAGTTTCAAATTTCAAATCAGATCACTTTTTCATAATTTGCACTACTTGGGGACTTACTGTCAGAAAAAAAAAAAAAAAAAGCTCTTCCTTCTTACAGCTGCCATTCTGAATTGGATATTTTAACCTTTGACTGAAAGGACAGGGAAGACATTACTTGCAAAAACACTGGCTCGCGTGGTGAATGTGCCTTTTGTCATTGCAGATGCCACAACATTAACACAGGTTAGTTTAGACAAGTACAGTACTTATACATTGTTTATGGAACACAGGTTACTCTTTGTGCAAGTTCTCGTAGTGCAATATTAATGGTTGAAGGATGGCTTTCCATGTTGTACTTCTTCTTCGTATACATACATGCATTTGCAGATAGATATATTCATAAGTTTTGGCTTCAGTTCTGTAGAATAATTTGTTTTTAGTGCATACCAAAATGTTTACCTTTTCTTTGGGCATATTTTGTTAATAATCTTGCCAGTCTAGAATAAAAGATGATGATGGAAATTTTGGGAATTTTTTTCTTAAAAATCCTGTCACTCTAGTAGAACGAAAGATGATGTTGGAAACTATAGAAGCAAGAACATTCTATTGTTACCCCTAATATATCTCTTTGTACTACTAATGTTTATGCATGCAAAGTGTAGTTAAATATTATTATCTCATGTTGGTTTACTATTGAATTAAACCTCTGGAACTCCTGTCTTACTGCATGTTTATTGCAGGTTGCAGCCAGTGCCATTCCTTCATGTCTTTCAATGTAGTAAGAACAAAATTTTCTGTCATTTAGTTGAATAGCACTGATGTTGCTCTCCCTCTCTCTCTCTCTCTCTCTCTCTCTCTCTCCAGGCAGGTTATGTTGGGGAAGATGTGGAATCAATATTGTACAAACTGCTTACGGTATGATCAATAAATTCATCTCTCTGGTATATACATGCTATGACATACTGACTTAAATGTTTTCAGTGATCCTTCTTGGGTCTCAGGTTGCTGAATTCAATGTTGAAGCAGCTCAGCAAGGGATTGTATACATCGATGAAGTTGATAAGATAACTAAAAAGGTCTAGTTATTTTTCATCTTCTTATGTTTGCCAAAGTTCATTGATTGAGAGCATTCTGATTGAAACCTTTTAACAGGCTGAGAGCTTAAATACTGGCAGAGATGTATCTGGAGAGGGTGTTCAACAAGCTTTGCTGAAAATGATCGAAGGAACCGTGAGTGATACAACTGCAAAGTATTCTTTTCTGTTTTGTTTTGATTAACCTGTTTAGTTTTCTCTATACCTTTGAGGAGGCATGCTGACTGCACTTCTTGGTGTTTAGGTTTTTTGTTGAGTTAGTATGTTTTTACATAGATCAACAAGGAAGTTTTTGAAGCTTTAAACATATTTGTCTGTTGTTTATCTTAGACCACATATTCTGGTCCAGATTGTCAATGTTCCTGATAATAGAGCTCGGAAGCATCCTCGCGGTGATAGCATTCAGGTATACCATAAAAAATCCTTATCTTGTTAGTTATTTTCTATATCATATTGTCACTAGTAATCTAATTTTCCATAGTTGCTTCTACACTGATTTTGTTTACATGCCTCAATTTCATACTTGATGTCTGTTGGTGTGGTTGTACATTCTCATCATTTTAATGGGAGATTTGTCTTAATTGTTTCATTTTCAGATATTATGCTTGTTCATTGCATGTCATGTAGCATATAAGATAACGGCTGCTTATATGCTTGCCTGACTTGTCAAATGTCAACATTCCTATTGTATATGAAACGCGTTTTAAAAAACTCTATATAAGTCCTAGTATTAAGACGTTTCATTTGCAAAGATAATCCATGGGCAGAGACGCTTCTTGTGGACGGGGAAGATTAAAATATGATTTTTTATTTTGAGGGTTTCATCAAGCAGACTATTTATTAGAATCTTGCATCACCCCTTGTGGAAACTTTGATGGAAGTGATTTCCGTTTTGGTTTTGAGTAAGCAACAAGGAGATGGGTGGCATATCGAAAAGATTTGCTACTGCTTGCTCTGGATAGCGGTGTTACAAACTAGAGGTGTTCACCCTACTCTGCGGGTAGGAAATATGGTCTTTCGTCCTCCTATCCGATACTTTGCGAAAGAATTTTTTCTTGGCCTATCCTACCCGATCAAGTGTGGTATTCCTACATGACTTCTAGCTAAATTAATCGGGTAAGAAGTCGGGTAGGAAATCGGATAAACACTTTTGTAGTTATTAATTTTTGGATTATTTTAGCAATTCAATTAAATATCATGCATTAATTTAACAATATAATAAACCAATAACACTAAAATCTAAAACAATTATAAGAACAATTACTATAACATACAATAAATCATAAACATCAATTCATCATAATTGTTGCACAAATACAATAACAATTATTTTAAGTTTAAACCACATGGTTAGGGAATTAGGGGTTTTTAATATATATATATATATATATATGCACCAAAGTGAGACCTTGCAATAATTATTACGCCAAGTAGAGGCAAAACTAAAAATATCTTCACCTGCATAATCACAAATACAGACAAGAAGTTCTGGAGTTTTGTCAATAATGTCCAAGTAAAATGAATCTGGGCTATTCATTCTTGGAACTTCTTGAACTTTTCCTGTAAAATAAACACCACTTCCCAATATCAAGGAAAGTGACAAAGGATGATATAAAAGCATCACCGTCACACTTTTCTAATAATGAATACTTAAACGTATTAGAAAAAATAACTTATTAGAAATAGTATGTTAAAATCATATTAGTTATAAATTTTAAATTTACTGTTGAAACTATTACTTTAATTGATAGCGGAGCAGATATGAATTGCATATAAAAACCACGAAGTTCCTTACCTTAGCTGGATCTCGCTGGTGCCACCCTTAACTTTGAAAAAATTATCACTTAAGGAAAGTGACATAAAAGTATCACCATCACATATGTCATCCTTCATGTCACTTTCCTTAAGTGGCAATTTTTTCAAAAATAAGAGTCTAGCTGAAACTCAACAAATCAATGAATTAATTGATGAAAAAATACAAGATAAAGTTTTAACCATTTCAAATATTAAATCTCTGAAAGAAGATTCAAACCAGTTTTTTCATAAAAGGTAAAACATTTCTTTATAATTTGTGTGTAAACATTGGCTTGTGATTTTAATCATAACGGACATCCCAGATTAATTAGGGAATATCATGTTTTTTACTAGAATAATTATCCAACTGATTCTAAATGTCAAATTATTGAGGAATGTCTTAAAGACGTGGGAAAAGAGAGAGAGAAAAAAATATTTGACTTGTATAAAGACAAAAGTCCTTCCTTAAAGGACAATAAAATATTTTGTTGGAGTCAGTTTTCAAAGTACTGATAAAAGTAAAGAACTCTTAATGAATTTAAGATACCCCATCTTAACATATATTAGGTGGTTTAAGGATGTATTTTTAGTAAAAATTTTATTAAGGATAGATGCTAATAATGAATTCTGGAAAGAAAAGTTTATATCAAGATTACCTAGCTTATTTGCAGAAAACAAGTTGAATAATTTTTTCAATTTTTCAAGGTATATCCTGTCGATAGCACCATAAATAATATTGGCATTTTTGATTTTAAATCAAGTTTAACAATTAAGACGATTGAAAGGACTATTCTTTTTTATCAGAATAGAGATATTTTATAATTGCTAACTAAAAGAGAAGTCTTAAAAGATCAAGATAATAATTATAAATTTTTGTATATTGGATTAGTTCAAGTTGCTTTAAAACCTTTAACTTTTCAAAGATTAAATGTCTCTTTTATGTTAGCACTCAGAGATGCTAGATGCCTTGATTTTGATCAATCTTTAATGGGTGTTATGCAGTCCTACTTAATAACAAATACAGTCAAGAAGTTTTGGAGTTTGTCAATAATGTCCAAGGACAATGAATCTGGGCTATTCATTCCTGGAACTTCTTGGACTTTTTCTGCAAATTGGTTATTGTCAACTTTATCTGATAATGATGCTTTAACAACATTAGGTTGTTTTGACGGGTTGGCTTTATCAATGTCACCCTTTTGTGATAATCAAGAAAAATGAATCTGGGCTATTCATTCCAGGAACTTCTTGGACTTTTCTTGCAAGATTGTCTTTGTACTCTTGCAATTCTTAATAAAAAGATAGGGACATGATCAATTAATTGATCTTCCATAGTATTGCAATAGAGACACCAAAGTGAGACCTTGCAGTAATTATTACACCAAGTAAAGACAAAAATAAAAATATATTTACTTGCATAATCACAAATACAGTCAAGAAGTTCTGGAGTTTTGTCAATGATGTCCAAGGAAAATGAATCTAGGCGATTCATTCTTGGAACTTCTTGGACTTTTCCTGCAAAATAAACACCACTTCCCAATGACAGATGCTAATAATGAATTCTGGAAAGAAAAATTTATATCAGGATTGTGTAACTTATTTGTAGAGAAAAGATAGAATTATTCTCCATATATGGAGATAATGTTAAAGCTTTAGGAATTATAGAGAGATTTATCTCTGGACAAAATTTCTTTATTGTCAACTTTATCTGACAAGGATGTTTTAACCACTTTAAGTTGTTTTGACGAGTTGACTTTATCAATATTACCCTTTTGTGATTATCTTTTTATAGTAAGTGGGGGAAAATAAGCATTTTTATATGCATTAAAATAATATACATCCTTATATGGATTAAAGTAATATGCACTTTTATATGCATAGAAAGAAGTCTTATATTCATCAGAATAGTATGCATTTTTATATGCAAAGACTTGTGTTCTAATTGTTATACCTTCAAGTCTAGTTATCATATCTAAATGTCATAAGGATATATCCTTACACTCCTTATGAACCTATGAAAATATTATTTGACTTGTATAAAGACAAAAGTTCATCCTTAAAGGACAATGATATAGCAGTGAAGCCAATTTTCAATTTCTCACTCGAATTCTTTGTTCCATGGATTTGGGTGTGGACATTGGCTTATGATTTTAATCATAACGGACATCTTAGATTAATCAAGGAATGTCATGTTCGTTACTGAAATAATTATCCAACTGACTTTAAATGTCAAATTATTGAGGAATGTCTTAAAGACATTGGAAAAGAGGAAGAAAAACATTCATCCTCTATAGCTATAATTCTCACTCCCTATAGAAACACTGGAACTAATTTCAATTCAATTGAAGGAGTGTTAGCGAGATTCATCTTTTCGGTTTTGTCCATTCCAAATGTAGACATCAGTTGAAGACGAAACTCCTCCATAACTGCTGATTTAAGTTGCTCAGTATTTAAATTGCTTATGTAATTGTGATTTAATTCTGTTAAACTACTGTTACTATGAATTTGTTAGCATAATTATGTTATGATGATGTATCAGAGCCAAGAAGTATGGTAGGTTAAATATATTATGTTGATTTATATGCTGATCTATTACTAATTCTTGTTACTTATGTAATTGTGATTTAATGATCTTCCATAGCATTGCAATAGAAACACAAAAGGATGACATAACATCATCATTATCACACTTTTCTAATAATGAATATTTAAATGTATTAAAAAGAATAACTTATCAAAAATGGTATGAAAAACTCTAAAATTATAAAGAAATATTTTACCTTTATATAAAAAGGGACAAAAATAATTCTGAAGACGAAGCTTCTAGGTTTTGATTTTTTATTAAATTTTTAATCTTAGTCAAATGTTGGCCCACGACTTATAAAACAATCTAGAAACTGGATTTCTTTGGGCTTCCTATGGTTCTCCACCAAAGTCGCATGTAGGTAATCAAAACTCCTTTAGAGTCGATCTTTTCTACAGGTTCAATTAAATATAAGAATAGTGTTCCCAAAATTACTAATGGATCTCGTTAACACTCTTTCAGTTGCCATAATATATATTTGTACGGGTAGGGTAGGGTAGGGTAGGAACACGAAAATTAATGGCTATTCTGCATTCTTACCCGATTTAATTAGAAGACCAAAAATTTTTTCGCATTCCCACTCAATTTTTTCGGGTAGTCGTTCAATAGGGTTGGGTAAGGTCGGATAAGGTAGGAAATTGCGGCTAATGGAAAATGTGAACACCCCTATTGAAAACTACTGCTTTCATGGATCCTTCTTTTCTTGATGGAATCGAAATATATAGACCAAGGAAAAGTTTTTGTTTCCTACATTGCTTACAGTGGAAACTAATTTCAGTTGATGAATGCTTGGTTGAAGAAGTATCACTTTGTTAAACATGATAGGGATCAGTGATATTTAAGGCGTAAAGTGAACCAAAGCGAACAAGTCTCGTGAGGGCCTAGGCGAGAAGCGAGAAGTGAAGCAAACGTTTCATCGAAGTAAAGCGAACAATATAAAAAATAAACAAATATTTTAATTTAATAATTTGATTAGACAAATATTTAAATGCAATAATTAACATTTACATATTTTAAATAGACAATATATTCAAATTTTCCTCACTTTACTTAACCTCGCTTCGCCTTGGCTGTTCAAGGCGACCAAGGCTTGCTTCCCACCTAGGCTCGCTTTTCACAGCACTGGTTGGGATGTATAGTAGCTGTCACTGAAGTTTTCATCCAACCGGAATGAAGGTGGGTGGTGCTAAGTCTCTGTTACGGTTATCAAATACTTTACCAAACAGACACTTTGCCCTTTCTAACTGAAAGCGTTATCAGTACTTGAGTGGAGCAGGACACTTTAGCAAACTACCAATAATGCTTGCAACGATTATGTTATGGTAAGTTTTCTGAAATTTGAGATTGATGGCTTAATAGATTAAAGATAATTTTGTTACTGGGTGTTGGATGAAGTTGGCTTGGCTTTGAAAGAAATTATTTGTTAAGTTTGTAAAGAGTAAGCTGGTGGAAATTTTGGATTTCCACTGCTCAAGGGTTGTGTTGAAATAGAGGCTGAATAGATACGAAAAGTTTCAGCAGAGAATTAAAGAGAGGAGGACTAGAAGTAGATAGGAGTATTGCCTAGGAATCTCACCTAGACATCCTTAGCCTTCTGCTCTTCACTTCCGCAAACATAATTTTCAGTTTTTCAGACAATAACTCCTTAGAATGGGGAGATTGCATATACACTTATTGGTTGGTGTTCCACCCTTTGCATCATGATGGTTATGATTTCATAATAAAGTCTAATGAGGACTGTCCAGAGAAAACACAATAACATTAGACTATGGACGGAGCACTGACCATCGGTTTATGCCATGTCCAGTAAATATAGGAATGACCAAAATACATTGACTCCTGATAAATGAAAAGATAATGTGTATCTAACTGGACAACAATGTATTAACTTGCAATAATGTTACATGAAGATTCAAATTCAACATATCTTTTTCGGCTACACATGTCCCTAAAATATGATTCGAAAGAAGATTACAATGCTCACTTTTTGATGATTCAACCTTTGTGCTTAGGACCCATGTTTTTAGAACTGTGACGAAAATGAAGCCTGTTTTCTATTAGAGAACAGGAAATGTGAAAAGGAAGAACAAATGATTTTTGTATGTGTGGAAATGGAAGGACCAAATGATACGCATGGCTTGTAACCTCGTTAATAAATTCTTTATAGTTACTCATTTGTCTTTGTATCTCAATGCAATGATTGGCAGATAGATACAAAAGATATCCTCTTTATATGTGGTGGAGCATTTGTTGATTTGGAAAAGACTATTTCAGAGAGGTAGTGCCAATACTAAAAGTTGTTTGCTAAACAGAATTATTTATAATTCATGAATGATAGCTTATATTGTGACAGTACTTTTAAAGGTTTGAGCTCATCATATTTTTGGACCAGGCGACAAGATTCTTCCATTGGATTTGGAGCACCAGTTCGTACTAATATGAGACTTGGGGGACTAACTAATGCTTTAGTGACATCTTCATTGCTGGAATCTGTGAGGATTAATCTTTGTTGTTGCTAAACAATCAGATTTTTCCATAAAATTTTCATTCAAGACTAATATGTTGGTTAAGATTCTTAAAAGTTTAGCCTTTTCTAGTAGATTTTATTAACTTTATCTCAAACTCATCTGAAACAATAGACTGATAGTTGCTTTGGAATTCCAGGTTGAAAGTGGTGATCTTACTGCATATGGTCTCATACCTGAATTTGTTGGGCGGTTTCCTATTTTAGTGAGTTTGTCTGCTCTCGATGAGGACCAACTTGTTCAGGTGTGTTCATTCTTTTCTTTGTATTGTGTTTATTCATTTTTTTTCCTTGCCGTTGAGTTGCAACTGGTTAGGGCCTCAACAGGCCTGCAGAGTGGTGGTAGTACATAGCTGGGAAAGGTTAGAGAAAATTTCTAGCATTCAAGACATGGATTTATTGCCTTGTCAGTCAACTCCATTTGTTTTGTTTATAACCGAGATACTTTTGTCCTTATTGGGAAATTACAGTAGACCTTCATCAATATACTTCCCAAGAAAATATTCTAGATCCTTTAAAGAGATTGCTCTTATTATCCGTAAATGGGAAAGTTGACAGTTTTCGTAATATTGTACTTTTACCATAGGTCCTAACAGAGCCCAGAAATGCTCTTGGTAAGCAATACAAGAGAATGTTCAGCATGAACAATGTAAGCTTTTGATTCACACCATCTCCTGGCCAGTAAAAATTGCTCTCTTTTTCTTCTCTTTTGCAAATATTGAGCATTCAGTGCAAATTTGGAAGCTTTTTGTTTGTTGATGTTTTCATTTATATTCGCAGGTCCGGTTACATTTTACAAAGAGTGCACTGAGATTAATTGCAAAGAAAGCAATAGCAAAGAATACCGGTGCTCGTGGTCTAAGAGCCATATTAGAAAATACTCTTACAGAAGCCATGTTTGAGGTATATAATTAGTTTTCAAAAAAAAAAAAGACGAGGTGGAATTGGGCATTATTTTTTATAGAGACCTCATAATGGGAACACAATTTAAATTTTTAGGATTTTGGTTTGAGCACTTTTGGCCTTTGCAATTACTAGCATGTTACCATTCATATTGAAGCAACATACATCATGGAGGGGCATCATTATTTTCACTTGACATGAGAAACAGTTGATCTACCTGACCTTTTTTCCATGTTGAGAATATTAGCTGACTAGGTTATTGTTTAGTTAGTGGCAGTCCACCTATTTGACTCAAGAACATTGACTTTATCTTCAGCCTTGGTTTTCCTCCCTTCCCTTGCATTTTTGGTTGTGATGATAGTGACCCTTTTCACTTTCCATCTAGCAAGTTGAGATTGGTGCCAAGCATCTGGGTTTATGATGATTTCTTATTATAATTTTGCACTTTATGTACAGATTCCAGATGCCAAGTCAGGAACTGATTTTGTAGATGCAGTTTTGGTTGATGAAGAGGCTGTAGGATCAGTGGACACACCAGGATGTGGGGCGAAAATTCTTCGTGGGGATGGTGCGTTGGAGCAGTTTCATTATCAAACACAATCAAGAGATCTGACGGTATGTTATCTCATTTTTTGTTTTGGTGGACTTCCTTACCCCTTTGTCAGCCAAGCCTTCGTGGATTTTATTTTGTCCTTTGAATGGTCCTGGCTGACAATGAAGTTGTATTTAACTGACACATTATCTACTAAAACTTTCTGAATGAATACTTGAAATCTTCTGTATGAAGGAAATGGAATGACTGAAATTCTAGATTGGCAGTTCAAACTGGTTTGGCTAAATATATGAAATTAAGACAACTGGCAACATTGAAAACCATTGCTTATATCGGGGCATTACTTAAGTCATGGTAACTGCTCGTGTTGTGGGAAGGCGGGTTCAAATTTTATAGTAGCTACTTTGTGCAAATGCTGAGATACAACTTAGGGAATGCATTCCTAAGAGCGTCACCTTATTTGGAGTTGGAAGCTGAAAATCAAGTAGGTTGTGATATTGGAAACTTGTAATCCCATCTCCCATGGAGAACTTGGGAAGTTTGACCTATGGAATCATATGCTTATTAGACACCCCATGGACCTTAATATGTATTCCTAGGGTTTCTGAGCATATTGTGGAATTGTTGTATGACTTCTTTATTTTCTTAATGATGCTACTATTGTTTCTTAACTTTACAAGTTGTTTATGACTGGATTAAAGGATTTGCCTTGGGTTTCAGGAAGGCCAGGTGATCAAGGGAGCATCCGAGGGAGAACTAGAAATTTCGTCACGAATCGTCAGCTTGTAACTTTTTTTTTTTCTTTTCTTTTTGGTGCTTAAACTTTTTCTTTGGGCATATGTAAATTTTCTATCTATAATCAACCAGGTTCGTTGCCAGATTCCAAGGTCTCCCCTTTTTTTATTTCTTTTTTTAATCAAAATTTTCTTCTTGTAAATTATTTCTCGAGAGGTTTCACAAAGAATATAAATAATTTTTCGGTGGTTTTATGACGGCCTGTAATTACGTTTTTTGCAATTTTAACTTACACTTCAAAAAAGTAATAACTTAGACTTGACAAAATCGGTACTATAGTCATCCTCTGCATTTGACACAAGCTTGACATTTATAATCATGCACTCCTCATCAGGCTGGTTGGGATCTGAGGTCTTCAGGGATTAGTAATTTATAGGTATGTTTGGTTTGGGTATAGTATAAAATAAGATTAAACAATTGATTCTAATTCAGATCATAGTGATGGTAATAATTGGTCAACTGTTTTATTCTATTCCAACTAAATCAAATTGTGGATCCATTATTTTAAATATCAATCTCATGTTTGGATGTAGGAGTAGTGTATGATACAATGATATTCAGGTGAAAAAAAAGAAAGAAAGAAAAGCATTATATATCAATGCATTACTCTTCATTTTGGATATTAATATCAATCGTGTGTTTTTTAATATTATCTCCAATAAGGTTTTGTATTTTAATTATTTAAAAGTATGTTTTTTATATTTTAACTACTCACTTTTTCAATACACATTCTAACAAATTTTTTATATTTTAATTACTTTTTTTAACAATAATGCTATTGGGACATAGAAAGAGGACATAAAATAGAGATTTAATGATATAACATCTGATTTGGATTTGCCATATCATTAAAATTTCTCCAACTAGTTTAATCTTATTCTTATTCTTCATTATCTCACTCCTCTTGGTCTCCTACTTTGGTTGGTCACTTTCTGTCGTTACCTTCATTCCGTCTTCTACTAGCCAGCAGCGGAGCCCCCTCTCCATTCTAGACACTCTTTGGCTTAGCACTCAAGGAAGTCAATCAACACCAATACAGCGTCTTTGGCGACCCATTCCATTCAACTCTCCAATTACTTCTTCTGGTATCACGTCCAATGGCCAAAAAATATGAACCTGCAGAGTGATCGAGATAGATGTCGAAAACCAGGTCGCCTTGAACCCAACCACCACTGTCTACAGTAAATTCTCGATTCTCGGATTTAAAGCATAAGAATACATTGATGATCCACTATATGTTGGAGATTGAGATTAAACCAATCTATAGTATTAGTTATTTTTTTATTATTAAACTTTTAGAATAATTTTTATTATTTCGAAGTCTTTGACTTATGGGAGTTTATTAGAAACTATGAAGACTTATTAGTCTTGTTGAAGTTATTTGGCGGTGAATCACTTTTGTTAGATTAGAAATCTGATTAGTTTATTATTCTCATTTGGAGTCATGTTAAGAATTATTTTATGTTAGTATTGTTTTATGTCTTTTGAGTGTTGGATTGTAGTGGCAAAACATTAGCTCCTTCAATAGAATTTTTTTTTCTTTGCCGCATGTTTGTGCATTCTTGAAATCTTGATTTCCTCTTTCTTGCAATCGTGTGTGTGAGATTCATCCCTAAAATAGCATTTTATTTTATATGTTGTAGTGATAGAAGGAGAATCTTCTAGTAGCTGTTCACATATGGAGATGATTGAAGAAAATGAAGGGGTTGAAATGAATAACATAGTAAATGTAGATGAAAAAGCAAAAGAGCCCACAGTTGGGAAGATGTTTAACAATTATGATGAGTTGGTTGACTATTACATAATCTATGGAAAGCATTTGGGGTTCCAGTGAAAATAATATCGTCAATTAAAGGAGATGACGGAAAGTTGAAATATGTGACAGTTGCATGTTCTCGATTAGACAAGTCGCGAAGCACTTCAAAGAATTCTTTTAAGCCGCATCCAAACATAAAAACAGATTGCAAGGCTAAGCTTACAACAATTTTATGACATGTCATTACATTTGATACAACATACTTAACAAATAAGTATGACATGCTATTTGCTCCCTTTGTAGGGGTGAATCATCATGGACAGTCAACTTTGCTTGGTGGTGGGTTGATATCTAATGAGGCCACAGAGACGTTTACTTAGTTATTGACTTTTATGCATGTCTTCAAAAGCTCCAAATGCAATTATTACTGACCAAGACAAAGCTATGCAAAAAGCAATTGAGATTATCTTTCCTAATGCTAGCCATCGATGGTGTTTGTGGCATATAATGAAGAAGTTGCCCGAAAAGTTGAAAGGTTATAAGCAATATGAATCAATCAAGTTTTCCTTGGAAAGTGTTGTTTATAATTCCTTGGCTCATTTTGAATTTGAAGATATTTGGAATGAGATGATTGAGAAATATAAATTGCATAATAATGATTGGTTGAATGAGTTGTACAATGAGAGACATTGATGGGTATCGGTCTTTGTGAAAGATAGTTTTTGGGCAAGAATGTCTACCACCCAACGAAGTGAAAACATGCATTCATTTTTTGACAGGTTTGTCAACCCTAAGACTACCATAAAGTAATTTGTGGAACAATATGAGAATGTAATGAAAAGTAAGGTACAAAAGGAAAACCATGAAGATTATAGATCGTCTTATTCACAGGTCCCTATTAGCCTTTATGGCATGGATAACAAGTTCAGCATATGTACACTATCTCAAAGTTTAAAGAATTTCAAAATGAATTGACAGTGAAGATGTACTGTGATTTGATTTCAGTTAAAGTGGATAGTGCAATCTCTGAGTACAATGTATCAGAGGATATCATTATTGAAGACAAAAATAAGAGCGTAAATTTTAAGGTTTGGTTCCAAGAAAATGATTGTGACGTGAAGTGCAATTGTCGCATGTTTGAATTTAGAGGAATATTGTGTAGGCATGCCATAGCAGTATTAATACGAAAGAAGATTTTCTTACTTCCTAAGAAATACATCATGAAGAGATGGAGGAAGGATGTGAAAATATGTCACACAAAAGTTAAAATTAGTTATGATATTTGGAGTGTTACACCTAAAGCAGTACGATATGATAAGATGTGCAATGCTTTTAGTGACTTTGCAGACTTGACGGCAAAATATGAAAAAATGTGTAAGGAGGTGATGAACTTCATACATATATTAAAGGAGAACCTACAAAAAAATGGAGGTGCTTGTGGAATTAATCAACCAACACCAAACTTGATTATTGGTAGGAATTCTGGTTGTATTGTTAATGTTATATCAAAGGAGGCACAGAGCATACTCACTTTGGTATTAGTTCGAAGCAAAGGTCATCCACTATTCAAAGGAAGCAGTCTAAAATGGAACAAATTGTTAGGAAAAAAAATGAAAAGAAAAAAATGATGATAACTCATGGAAATCTTAGCAATGAAGAAAGAGAGAAAAAGGTACAAATAAGTTGTGTATGCCAAATTTGTTTTGTCATATTTATTAAATGTTTCCAATATTTTTCTATTTTTTAGGAATGTCAAATGACAGAAGACAGTGTCATTGGTCATATTGATGGTCCACCTACTAGTAAAATTGATGTAATTGGAATGCAAGAGAGCATTGTGGTGAGGGTATGACTTGAATGTTATCGTTCTGGATATAATCTCCTATTTTATACAACATTGCTTGAGTACAAATTGGAAGTTTGTAGTTATTAAAATTCTTGTACTGTTTTTAACTCTAAACAATTGTAGGATTCATAAATCCCACAAAGTACCAATGTTTGTGTGGGGGATGAACAATACCTTCCATTGGATCCTATGTTGCCCTTTAGTAATGTGAGTCATGAAAAATTTACTTAATAACACTCTATCAACATTTTGGGTTATTATTTATTTAGTTTTGTATGCTTTATGATAGGCAATTATGACCTTATTGTGGGGGGTCACTTAAAGGGGTAATCTAAACCAATCATATGGAGGATATGCAATGGAAAACATAACTCATCCAAAATTTCTTGAAAATAATATCTTGGTAAGTACTTTATGTTTTGTTCAAAAGTCTTACTTGTATTTTTGATGTTCAACTTATGGTTTTTATTTTTTGATTTCTTAGAATAAACAATATCAAGATAAATATGGTATTCAAGATTTACCTAATTCTAGCTTCAGTAAAGAGAAATAGTTGAGATGCTTGGCCAAACAAATAGCATGTAAGCATGACTAGGTATTTTTAAAGTGTTAAGTGCAACTTTTTATGTTTTAATTTTGACTTTTATTTGATTGAATTTTTTTTTGTATGACAGGTCTAGAAATGAGAAGATTGTATGAAATTATGCATGTGCTTGTCCATCCAATGGTTTGTAATGTTGTCACAGAAGTTAAAGAAGTGGGCTGAAAAGTGCTTATATAAGACTAGTGTTGTTTGGGTTTTTTCTTTTTTTTTTGTGTAATACTTGGTTAAAATTAGTGATTGTTATTCTTCTTTACTGCCTTGTCGCTAGGCTTGTCAAAATCCAACACGACACGATTAACAGATATGAATCGACACGGATTAAATGGGTTTGGGTGAGACCTTAACGGGTTAACCCATTTAATAAACATTTACATTTTGTAACCATGACTAGTAGGTGGTGAGACATGTGAACTCGCTTATAAACGTTTAAATTTTGATTTTTTTTTGTTTTACACATATGGAGGCAGATTTTTGTGCTTCTTTTTATGTATTTATTCTATCTGTATGCACTTTCCAGAGTAGTAATTTGATTTTTGTAACCATGACTCTGACCTCTATGAATCATTAATGTGCAATTCTTGTCAAAAACAATCATTAATGTCTCTTACCTCTTTGTTTAGGTGGCTTTATTCTAATTATTGTCTTTCAGACCTCTTTACATCTTCATGGTATATAGTGATTGTTTACAAGATCTGTATGCAGTGGTTGTTGGGGGTGATATCAATTTAACTTTATTTTTTTGCCTTAAACAGATGGATTCTTTCGAACACAATATTATAATTTTTGAT